TCTGCATTTTGAAGGTGGTCACTGATTTTCAGTGTTTATCTTTGACCTACAGGAACCAAATCAAAGTGAGATTCTCACATGCAAAAAATCAAGGAGGGTAAAATAAAAGAACTTCAAAAGGAAGCCCAGGCCTCAAAGAATATTGTTAGAGAAGCCATATACTGGATGAAGCATGATATGGGAAAAACCTCTAGATAAGCCCTTTTTGTTTGAGTCTTTTGATTCAGTACTCAGGTATGAGATCTATAGTCAAACACAGCATTTGCATTGCTGTTTGTACTGTTGTTGTCAAAAAAAAAAGAACATGTACGTAAAATTCATTGGTTTTTGATTTGGAATTTTAGGTTTTACCAATTTCTTATTCTCACTTGTGGTGAGTTTACCATCTCTCATTTGCCACATTATAAGGCTTGGTTTGTGATCTTGAGCTTTGACTGTTGGCACTGCCTCTCACCAGTCATGCACTGACTTTTCCCTGGGCAAAACACTTCAGTTGATCTGGGCTCAAGGGCAAAAACTGAGCTAATTTTTCTTCAGTGTATGTGAGTCATGCCTTGCCTAAGCTCAGCGTAAAGCTGGGGTCATTTGTACCCTGTGTAAATCTCTCTTTATACCACTGGAGCGTGTCTGCATCAGAAGTTTATATTGCTGTAGTTACAACAGAGTAACTTCACCGGCGCAGGAGTGGGTGTAATTAACGCAGGGGGCACAATGGCCCTGCGGCCGTTCCTTGTAATGAAGACTAAAGATGGAGCTTTCAAAAGTGCTGAAGTGACTCATAAATGCCGCTTTGGTTGTACCACAGGTCATGGATTCATTAATCACTCTTAAACCATGTCTACACAACAAGGAGATTTTATCCCCACCAGCTAGAGTACTGTAGTCATACACCTGTATTCGTAGCACCAAAGTAGATCCACAATTTCACTAAGAGACTCTATCAGAACTTACTTTTATGAGACTTGTCTAAATAACATATACATCCATATTGCAGCAGTTGCACCTCTTGAAACAGTGCAACCCTGCACATGAACAAGCACTTGAGAATTTTGATAATCCCGCACCTTAAGTTTGTTGTTTCTCTGGCCACATAGTCAGAGGTTTAGTTCTGATCACATTTTTTTAGTGTTTTTTCAGAGGGAAGAGGGAGGAAACAATAAACCACTGGTATTTGAAAGAGCTGAAATCACCCAGCCTACTGGTTTAGCTCTACAAACTAGTGTGCAGTTGGCCAGCTCTGTCCTCATCAGCAAATGCCACTTGAGTTACAGGGAATCCATATCCGGTTTCAAAGAAAGGGAGAGTTTTTGCAAGAAGATAATTTTATTTCTACACGTTACTCTATTTCTGCTAACAGTGCTAGAAAAGCAAGATTATGGGGGTTGTGTGTTTAATACAAAAAAGTAGATTTGCTGATATAACTGTCATTTGCACTGTTTATATTTAAATGTCTTTAAAAAAAAATCATCAAAATTTACAGATAGTAAGAGTGTGCAAACCAGAACACTTATCTTCTTTTTATAGACTAAAATCAAATTATTCCTCACATTTTTCTCAGTTACAGAATATTAGATTGCGGTGTCTGGAAGCTACTTGCTTTCTTGAGGAAGGTATATTCCCAAACTAAAATTGAATACTACATCAAGACTATTTTTTTAAATTCTCAGCAATTATTATTTGTCCTAATGCATTAACATCGTACCATTCTTAAACCTAGGAAGCAGAGAGTAGCTTATTTCCCAATCAGATTCTTAATTAATTACCTTGTAGCCTGCTATCTTAAAAATACAGGTCGAAAAATGGTATGTTAACCTTTTAATTTTTTTTTAACCTAATAAAATAACCAACTTGTGTTGTGACCTGTAATTCTGAATCTGATTGAGTTTTCAATATACTGTAATTCACAGATTTTCTCCCCTCTAGCACTAGGTTTGTATCTGTCACATGGTTTTCAGTGTTCCTAATGAGCTGTTAACAAGCTGTCAATTACTTATGCAAATGAGGCAAGCAGAAATGGAGGGGTTGCTATACCTAGAGTTAAAGTGTGCTACCTCAGATTGTTACGAAATAAATCATTTCAGTTTTAATAGCTGTCTGTGCCCATGCGGCTTGTGTCATGTAGGCACTTTTTCATTATATTATTTACCCAGCAATAAAATGCTGCAGGGGACTTTGGGGTGATTAAAAATTTGAGGGGGGAGGGGAAGTCACTCAAGTGACTTCATTCTTTGCTGCTTTGCACCTTCTGCTCTTCTTGGGTCGGGGCTATGAGGCTACAAGCTGTCAGGTGCCCTTAGCCCTGTGGAAATAAATGACAATTCAGGACTTTACGTCTGATCCTGGCAGACTATCTAATGAAGGGCCTTGCCAAGGTATGTAATGGAGCCTCACGAATATATAAATAGTGGAACTAGGAGCTGAAATCTTGAATTTTGGAGAGAAAGGCACGATTTATGTATGTATTCTCATCCTCATAAGAGACTTCTACACAAAGTTCAGACAGAAGAAAATTTTGGACTTTTACTTGTATAATTCGTAAAGGAATTCTTTCGCCCTTACTAAAGTCAATGAAATTTTGCCCTTAAATTCTATTTTCCTTTCCTTTAGCTTTCAATTGATACTTACTGTAAAACTTTTTGTGTGATCTTGTATTTAGAATGTTATATAAAATGAAATTGCATTGTATTTATGACCAGCACTACAATAACAGTCTATCAGTGTTTCCATCATAAGCCCCTATTGTTGAGGGCTTTAAAACTCACCTATAAAATTCACTCAGGATTGCAGCATGGTCTGCAAATGATAAACAAATCCTTTTGCCTATTTTTGATTTAGAATATGTGAGATCAAGACTGGAAATTAAAAGAATGGGAGGTTTCCTCTCATTTAGGTATGTATGTATGTGTGTATATGCATACACTTTAAAAGATGGATCAGAAGCATTTTTTCCATTATTTAAGAAAATTTTATCTAAAAGCTCTACAAAAGTGAATGGATCACATTGTTTTGCTCCAGCCCATACCTAATCAATTGATGCTTGTTAAATCTGCTGGCAGGATCAGGCTCAGACTCCTGAATTGATACTAATTTCACCAGGGTAAGTAAATCTCATGAGTGGGAGCCTTGTAGCCAGTCCATACCCAAGAGCAGAAGGTGCAAACCATAAATAAACTCGTCTGTGTGAATTCCCCTCCCCCTTCAACTTTTTAATCACCCCAAAGTCCCCTGCAGCATTTTGTTGCTGGGTAAATTTGCACATTCAGCTAACTAAGCTGAAAGGTCATTGGCATAGGAACTTTTCTTCTGTCCTTATGTCCATTATGTTTAAGGTTCAGGGACCTAAATCTGTGCATACAGAAGCCAGGAAGCCTGGTGTGCAGCAGAGAGAAGTGTTCTGGTAGGAAGCCAGAAGGAGAAGAATTTGAGAGATCTAATGACATGAAAATCAGTAAATAGAAGTGAATTAAATAAAGTACAAGAATGCCTTTTCAGATGGGAGACACCCCAAAGAAGCTGTCTGTGAGAGAATTAGTAGGCTAAGTCTTCACTGATCAATCCCGATGGAAGCTTTCTGGTCAAAATGTCAGTGGTAACTTTATTTTCAGCTGGTATGTACAATAATCCTTTTGTTCCATCTGCAAACACTAGGGGGTAAATTTTTAGCGTGATGCTTAGGGATTTAGCTGTAGGACTCCCATTAACGATAATGGGAATCATGTAGCTTGAGCACTCTGCATCGTGCTGAATATTTACCCCTCAGTTCAGAGCACTCTCTCGTTGAATTTTTAATTATATTTACAGATAAATTCCATAACCAAATATCATCAGCTCTCAAGCAGATTGTTTTATTAAAAGGTGCAGATTTCCAACTTCATTTTGAGCTGCAACCTACAGTGATTGGTTTAGCAGCTGAGTAATTTTTTTAAAGTGTCTATTTAATAATGCCTGATTTGTCAGCTTCAGAGCATTTGGGAGAAAATAAATATTAGAAAGTATACCGCCCTGCATACATGTGCCAGAGAAATGCAAAATGTGAATATTCTACCTTGTACTGAGATTTCAGTGTGTGTGTCATGATGCAGCAAGCTCTTTCTGAGAAATAATGCTTCTGCATAAATCTGTGGTTGAAATCAGCAATAGTGTACAAACACTCAGCACTAATATGACATAGGTGGTATAGTGTTTGCATTTGTGAAGTTAAAAAATATGAGTCAAAAAAAGTTAGGAGATTTGCCCAAGGCCAGCCAAAAGGTTTCACGTAAGAGGATATTAGAATTCAAAAGTCCCTTAATTCTATACTTACATCAAAATCTAAGACCAGTCTAAACAGGTATAGAGGATGTGGTGTACCCATGCTGATCTGCTTAGTTTCTCTGAGACATGCTTCCACTTGCTTTTGCAGCTCATAATTCCTGCAGTAGCCACATCCAGCTCTGTTGTGACCCTGTTGAAAAGTCCTGTGAAGTAAAAATGCTTCTGCTGATTTATTTCGTGACTGCCTGGCAGTGACGTTAGAGATCCGAACTTTGTTTTAAGTTATGGGTGAGATTAATCTCTATTCAGATATTTTCTAAAGGAAACTTAAAGATGGATGGTTGAGGTGTTGCTGTTTTTCTGATGCAGCTATTCCAGGGGCCCCCTTGCCAAGCTTCAGCTGCTGTCAGCAGAAGTGTTATGAATAAAAGCACAAATTGTAGCATAATTTTCGTGCCACTCTTGACTGATACATGTCACCTTGGCTTGTACCAGAGGGCTAGACTGACACACAGCAATCCTAAAATCAAAAAAGCACTAAGACATTTTGACTGAGTCTTGCTGTCCACTCCAGTTTCTCTCCACACAATACTTAGGTGTCCTCAGCTGAAACAGAATTGTAAAGTGTGGGACCATAAAAGCTTGCCTGCATGAGACTCTGCTTTTGAAACTGTTTTTGTTACTCTGTAAATGGACCCAAGAAATCCATAAACTGAAAATTTCTGCATCAATCAATTTCTGCACAGGAACTGTCCTGATGTGAAAGAGCATGCTTTGACTCCTTGGGGCATGTGGTGATTTCTGCTAAGGGAATACCTGCGTTTGAGCAACTGATCTGAGAGCACAGACCCTCCAAGGTATGTTCATACTTAATTCTTTCAATCCACAGTAGAATCACCAAAATTCAGATAAAACTCACATGGTGCTTCCTTACCTTTCCAGTAACCTACCAGTGAGGGAAGCAGAACTGCAGTGCCTCTGTTTGCTGCTAGAGTTCAAATTCCTACCAGAGTGGGACTGTTGGAGTGTTCATTTGACTTTGGTAGAAAATACCTGAATATCCATCTCCATTCATGGCAGCACTCTGGATTTGGGATTGATTCCCTCTCAAAGTCAGTGGAAATCCCTATTATGGTTGATAGCCTAAGATAAAACCAGAATATCATTTTGGGAAAAAAAAAAAAAAAGAATAGTGATCAGTCTCTCTTTCCACTGCTAGTGATTGACAGGACAAGAATATAGCAGAACCTCCACAAAATTTTTCTCAGCAAAACTTATTTTTTGTATGCTAATCCTATATCTGAATATATACCCTAATTGGAGTATTCATATCTCTGCCCTTGGTAATCATCAGCCCATCCCTAATGTTTCTTTTTTTCAGAAAAGGTAAACTCTCCTCACTTTTCAGTAGCAGATTATACAAAGGGAACTTTATGGTATATATTACATTCACAAAGCAGTTTTCTCCATCTTGCAATCACTTAAAAAAAAAAGAACTTTCTTATCTCATCTTCCTTCCTGCATGAATGTCTGAGATAATCAATGAAGTTCCTGTGTAGAGAATAAATTGAGCTCGAATGGCTCCTCTTAAACTGTACAATCAAAGAAAGAGGAGGTTTTTGCTGATGATTTTGATATTCAGTTTAACTTTCTTCACAAGGCTGTCAGCGCAGTGAAAGTGAGGTCAATCTGACCACACTCTTCCTAAAGGATCCTCTTCTGAGCCATCTACTTGAGTATACATCTCCTGACAAATCAATGGCAGAATCGAGAGGCATGTACTTTGCCCAGAAACCTGGGGGCTGATTGTCCTTTGCTGTGCATCTTCTGCAGTCATTTATGTCACTTCAGCATGGGTGTGAGACAGTGCCTGATAGCAGTAGCACTGTTTAGCATCTGCATCCCAGTGATACAAATGCTTGCCTGAAGATGCAGGACAATAGAGGTGCAGACATGGGTCCTACAACAAGAAAAAGATTCAGATCATGGCAAGTACAGGGGAATTGTCACTCATTGCACTCACATGTACATACACACTCTTTCACACTAAGTGAAAGAGTGGTAAATAAATAACAATTTAAAATTAAGTTTCTGAAGTTGCTCTACTCAGAAATCTGAGGTTTTTACAGGACAGATGTTGGGAAACAAGCACTAAGCAAATTATAGGAATTTACAGAGACCAAGAATCCTATCCTTCCTTCTTCAGGGTAATTTTGCACTTCTCGACCACTGCCACTTGCTGAAAGCTCTGGAATAGGGGTTGTTGGTCACCTGGGAAGTTACAGCATAGTGGGACTGCTGCACAACAGCAACACAGGTGAGTATAATGAATGGGATTGGAAGTGCCCTCAGACATTCTTTTGCTAAATTATCTAAATGCAGACAATTTTCTCAGGAGTTAACAACAGTTGTTTGAACCAGTTCAAATCTGTCTCTAGGGTTACTGCCCTCAGACATTTACCATGACAGGCCTTTCCTGCTCAAGATGAGAAGGGACCTGTAGAGAAGGAGGAAAACCCAAGAGCAGAACTGGTGTGCTGGAAAACTCATCAGCTTTAGAGTGTTTCTTAAAATTCTTACCTTGTGTTGCTGAATCTGTGCATTGCACTTGGGCTTTGTTGGTGAATCTGTTCATGGACAAACCCTCAGCCCTCATCCTCCCCTTTTCTCCCACAAGTTCTCTACCGAGCTTGTCTGTATCCTGACATGAAATGATATGTATGAGAATTAGAAGACATTACATCCTGGGTAATATCCATTATGTTGCTCTCTATTAGCTCTCAATTCTTGGGAGAGCATTACTGCATTATTTCTTTTGTGCCAACGCTATTCCATCAAGGCCAATGCTGGTTTACTCAGTTGTATCAATGATTTCTTCTGAGGCGGCCTAGACAATATACTGTAATATATATAATACTATGTGATTTTTAAATCAGCCTTGCAAATGTATTCTAAAAATTTTGCAGCTCTTCAGACAAATCCTATTGTCCATCATTCCTAATGATGACTATTGGTTAGCAGAAAACAAATAAAGAAGTGACATTTCTACACATAAAAAAGATCAACTAAGTGAACAAAATTCTGTAGGAAGCTTAGGAATGAGAATTTTGCTTTGACCCATACTGTAGAAAGCTTTTCTCCTGCTTTGTAAAAGGGGAAACAAAATACATTGCATAAACAAAATACATACATTTTGGAATTGTATATGTTACAACAAAAAAGTGTTAAAGAATTACATGTGAATTGAAAAACATATTTCCACTTTCTCTAAATTATATTGCATTCAATTTTTTTATATGAACAAATGAATTAAAGTTTATTCTTTTATTTTAAGAGCATAAAAAGAATGGTACTTTTCTGCTTCATTAACGCCATTTTAGACAGCTAAGATAAGATTTCTGTTTTAGAAATCCTACAACATGAATGAATGCTGATATTTAGAAGGATTTCAAAGCTCTCTAAAAAAAATAAAAAAATAAAAAATTTTCTCTCCATGCTTATGTTCTTCCCAGGCAAAGTTATCATTGCTGCAGTACTCTTTAAATTTCTTTGTATCCCATATTAGCAGTGAAAATTGCTCATGTACAGGTGTTTGTCATAGCAATGTGTATTTTCTAGTCTTTTTTCTAGTCTATTTTCTAACTTTCTCTGAATGGTGAGGGATACTCATTAACCAAAAACGTCTCAAGCCGTATTCAGGGGACAGCCTGATGCAGACGGTGTGTGCAGCCAATCTGTCACTCAGAAGCAGAGAGGGCAAGGCTGTTTTGTCACTCAGCACAACTTGGAGGGGAGTGGAGCACTCTCAGGTCTGCTTGCACCATTTCTGACTGCCTAGGGGTTGCTCTGGTTTGTGACAGAAAACCTGGAGCGTGTTCTGTGGTTCCTGGGCAAAGCTGCAGCATGTTAGACATTCCTAGAGGGAAAAGGTCCCTCTACATAGGAGTGCTCTGTCCCAGCTGAGTTTCTTTCTCTGGGTTTTCTTACCTCTGCTCCAGGCACCTGGGCAGCAAATGCAAGGGGCAGAATTTTTGAGTAGTCACGTTAAACAAGCCTGAATTTGGGATGTGCAGAACTCAGCCCTCCTTCCCTATTGCTCTCCAGGCTCCACCCCTTGGGCCTGAATGGGTGAAGTTTAGGAAGCTCCTTGCAAAGGGTGAGTTCTGTCCATTCACTCAGCCCAGGCTATTTTTATTTTTTTTTTTTTGTCTTGGGGATGCCTTTCTACTCAAAGGTACGACTCACCTACTTTTTCATACCTAATTTTCACTTCATGTTTCATTGTATTGAGGCCAAAACAATGCCGCATGTTTATTTGAGCAATGAAGCTTAAAAATGGAAGCATAATAAGACAAAAGAAAAGAGAGGGGTGAAAGAGGGAACTCATGCTTGTAGGGATGGGAGAAGAGCAGGAGGGATGCAGGATATTTATCAGAAAGACCAAGCTGAAAGGCATGTAAATCCAGTTAACAACTTGAAAGCAGGTAGACACATTAAAGGAAGTGGAAATAAAGTCAATTAGTGGCAGGAGACATTAGTTGAGGGTGTCAGCTAGTGTATGGCAACTAATTTGATGCAGTCTAATCACAGAGTTTGGCTATTTGCTTACCAAATTCAGATCAACCAGTGCTTCTTCCAGGGCAGTCACTTCAGAAAAGAGAGTAGAATTACCATGAGATCTGATCCATTGCTTAATTGAAATTAGTTTTAAATAACTGTATCAGATGTTATCGAAAACCAAGAAGTAAATAGTTGCTGAAATGTGGTGTGATTATGGCAATTCAGGGAAGCTGAGGATGCCTGAACAAGGACCAGGGATTATGTAAGGTGTGAATGTGCTCGTGGAGGTTCACAAGCCCGTGCACCAGGAGGGAGCTTACAGAGACACTTACCTGTCTCTGTGCTCTTTGTCTCTCTCTATTGACACTCTCTATTGACAGTTGCTCCTGTTTGGATGAAATGTGTTGTGAATGCCAAGAATCATCTCACTTTTTAGTGATGTGCTTGTAGAGATACATTGATACATGGTGGAAGGTTGTATGTGCCTTCTACACACACCTTTGTAAGAGGCTGGGCAGCCTCTCTAGCTCTGTTTACTGTCTGGCATTAACAGGAATGGATGGTTAGGGGAAAACAAGAGGAAACAGGAGACATATAAAGTGATTTTTTTTTACTGAAAATCAATGGTTTAGCAATTTCCTGAATCAGAGGTCATATCCAGACTTAGGAAGCTATGCTCTACAAATTTATCTAATCTTTTCAAATCTATTAGGTTTTTTGGTCTCATAATCATATTGCAGATGAAAATTTAGGCAATTTTGTGCTCTGGGGAATAATTACTTTGTCTGTTGTCAGTGTGGTTCCTGCTCACTCATTGGGTGCGGTTTCCTTCTGATGATGTGGGAAGAGGAGTAATCAATGCATGTGCTGGGCAGCTTGTGACCTTACACATCTTTGTCAAGCCCCCCTCAATCACCTATGTTGTTCCCCAAAACATGTCAATTTCTCACATGTCCTTTGTTCTCATACATACCTTCATTCCCTCTATCTTTTCTAGCTCTTTTTATATTTGATGATTGGTTAGTGGAACATGAGAGCACATTGTGTATCTCCTTCAAGGACCTATTTGATGTACACGGTCTGTAATCACACTGGTCATGATTCAGCATGAAGTTGCCCATCTTTGTGAAGAGATACAGCCTCAGTGAGATGCTTTGAGTTAGGCATGTGCTTAACTATGCTAAATTGTTTTGAACCACTGATGTAAAAGGCTGATGGGATCAGAGAGAAGAGAGAGTTTTCATTCCTGCTTGCTAGCACAAATAAGTGCAGATCATGCCAAACTTATGCTTTAGAGAAACTGAGAATCACTTCCCAAATGACTTCATGTATAAGGGAGCTACTCTGGTTTGCACTAGAGTTTAAATGGAACCTAAGTTCTTTTTCTTTGCAAGTAGAAATATCAGCTGAGAACAAAGGAACAAGTGAAGGATACAGCCTAGGTAGTTTTTGTAAAGAATTTTTTTCTTTGAGTTGGTCTGGGGATCATCAGGATTGGACCTTAGCACCAGCAACCTCCAGCACACTGCAATGGCTCTGCCTTTAATACACTTCCACCTCTGTGTGTTATACAGCCGTAATACTGAACACACGAGGCAGACAGATGCCCTCAGGCATTCTCCGTAAAAACTTTCATATCACAATGGAACTGAACGTACCATTATAACACCACGGCTCCTCTTCTTCACGGCAAGAATTTTTCTGAAAACCAGGCAATGTCATAGAAATGTTATAATAGACACATCCAGAATATATGGGTGAGTTAGTTGTCCCCAGTGATATATTTAAGCTGCTCTTTCTACAATACATAGAGCAGGTTAAATATAATTAACATTGGTCAAAGGGTCCTTTTACTTTACATAGTTTCTGAATGTATTACCTCAATTATCAGGAAGAAAAAAAAAAGGAAAAGCATATTTCTTAACATCTGCTGGTATAAGCTCCTCTAAGTCAATTCCGTCGCAACGTGCATTTTCGCTCTCCAAGAAACAGGAATATTTTCTCTGTCCTTAAATCCCATAATTGTTTTATTGCTACATTAAAAAGTGTAAATAATCATTCCCCCTCCCTGTAATAAATTAGACGCAACCTGTCTAGCTCTGAAAATTAACATTTCAATATCTTCAGTCACACAATGACATCATATCAATATTTAAAATCATTTTATGCATGTATTCCAGGTTGTCCAACTTCATTAGGGGCATTCATCAGCCCTCCGGCTACAGTGTATTCCCATTGGAGTTGTAGGCCTCAGGCCCTACCAAACAGAAATTTAAACTAACTTGCCTTTTTAATTCACATTATTCTCAAATATTCTCTTTTTTTAACCCCCTGCCATGACTAAGGTGTTTAGACCTGGCTATGATTTTGTGTGCATCAACATTTAACAGAAAAAATCCCCATTTTTATGTCAGAAGTAGAGTACATGTAAATAATAGTCTTTCTCCTTTAATTTCCCTCCTCTTCTCCCATCCATCACTATTTCCTGAGTGCAGTAATACCTGTACTTTTAATGTTCTGTGCTAACTTAATAATTTGAGATACAGCTTGATAACAATATGAAATTGTTGGAATTTTATGTTTAAAAATATACAAACATTTCAATCATATGTTTCATTCTTTTTCATTCTTCTTCTATCCAAAATAGTAAAAAAACCCAACTTGATCTATTTTTGTATATCTATAGATGAACAAACAGCATGAATACATTTCCCTGCTAGGGTCATCAGACATTGTTTTATTAGTTTAAAACTTTTTTCCCTCCAAAAGACCCCCCAGACCAACAAGTCAGTCTTCCCATTGTTCAAATCCATAGGATGACTGTGAATCTGTTCCCCAGGATGTTTAGTGACCTTCAAAATTCCTGGGTAAAAGTCACACACATTACACAGAACAGGAAAGAAATTTATGATATAAAAAACCAATCTTTGCTGCTGGCCAGAGAGTGTAGCTTTGGCTGAAGCCTCTCATTTATCCTCCCATATTTTGTGTGGAAAGTCTATAAATAGCCATCCTTTAGCCAGATACAAAATAGACGGAAGCATGTGGAAGCAGCCATGTTAATATGAAGTGCATCTGAAGATGGAGCAAGCCTGTGAAGATACTGGTGACTGAAAACAAAAATGTTGGGTTAAATACATGTCAGTGTCATTCGCTTTTCTGGCCAAAGTGTTCTGACCAGGTCATAACCATGCACATGGCCAGAGACCTGATGAGCTCACACTGGTGTGTTATGTTCCATTTGCCTTCAAAAAAGAAAGATGAAAAAATGGGAAATTAAATGAAGACTAAAAGCCAGTAACTGCAAGACCAGCTTTCAGATATTTTTTTCCCATAAATAACATTTTTTAAAGCAACTGTACTTCTTTCAATTTCCTTCTGCTCTCTGCATCTCTCTGCCTCTTAGTCTGTGCCTAGTTTCAGTGTTCCAGCAGGCACATTTTTTCTTGTGTCACAGAAAACCTCTTCCTTTTTTCATTTTGTTCCTCTGACTTTCACAGTCCTCTGGACTGTGGACCTCTCTTCATTTTGGTACTAAATGAAGTCTGTCAAAGTAAAGGAATTTTGACCTGTCTCTTTGATGGTGGTACATCATCTACATTTTATCCTTCTAAAAAGAAGCAGGTGCTATTTCTTCTGCTGAAGTCCTGGATACCTTACCCATACAGCAAAACTCTGAGGCTCAGTTTCTCAAAGACATAGAAACCCGTAAAAATAAATTTGCCTCCTAAAAACACTATTCAGTGAGTTGGGGGCTTCCATGAAACTGTACCTTACCACAGGGAAGAAGCAGCTTGAAGTACTCCTTCTGCTACCCAGAAAGCTCCACAGTGTTGTGGTTGGGGATTTCTGTGTTTTTTTTTTTTTCTGTTGGTGTTTTGTTTGTTTGTTGTTTTCTTTTTTAAACTAAATTATTATCAGATTATCCCTTCAAAAGCAGGAAAATGTATGTTTCATCTGTGAGATGCTCTCAGTCATTCTGTCTCCTTATTGAGGAGGAGCCTGCTGTGCCAGGTGTGCCCACATATCTGCACTTCCTATGAGGACAATCTGGAGTCTGATTGTTTTCTGTCTACAGTTACCTGATAAACTGACCATGGAAGAGCTGGAGTTTGTGTCCTTTGGAGCTCTTAGCAGGTATTTTGCAATAAATAAGTTGGACTTTTTCCTGAAGACCGTGCCTTGGTGTGGCCCCTTCCTTGCAGGGTCCAGGACAGACTGCCATGGAGCCAAAATCTATTGTCCCAACATACTGAAAGGACAAGCTAATCCTAACATTTCTATTCCATGCAGGCCCTATCCACAGACGTAAAAAAAAGCACTGGGAAAGAGATGTTTGAGACTGGAAATGCCCCTGACTGTTGAAACAGAACTCTGAGAAGGTTGATGGTGATGGTGATAAAAACACAGTCAAGGTTAGATCTCTGGGCACTACTGCAGTGAATTATACAAACAAGAATAATAACCACAGTGGAAGACAAAGGGAAAGGGGCATGTGAAATGATCATAGTAAGGAGCAGAGGGTCAGAAGAAAACTGAGGACCGAGCTGGGAAGGAAAAGAATCACCATCACTGGGGATTAAGAGGGAAGACAGTGGATAAAGAGGATGAGATAAAGAGGAAAAAGCAAGGAATAGGAAGAATAGAAAGGAGTGGATAGAGAAATACAAAGTAATGAAAAGAGGTAGAGTATTAGAAAAACTGGAGAGATACTTAAACGACAAAAAGTTCAAAACTGAAGTAAGTGAGAATAAAGAGGAGAGAAAAGAAAAAGTAATAAAATAAAAAGAAGGCCCAGTAAAGAAATAAATGCTGCAAATCTATTTAAAATTAAAAAAAAAATTAAAAAGAGATTCTATAGAGATACAGAATTTGATCGAGAAATTAAGATTAGTTTTCTAATTTGTGAAGTACTGCTCATAAAAAGGGTTGTATAAAAACTTGTCATTATTGTTGGCTTTTTATTGCACCTTTCTTGATCAGGTGAGCTACACTGATGTGTGCTCTTATATCCAGGACTTGGAGGAGAATGATGCCACTTTTGATACTAGTTGAAATAATAGACCTCTTTATTTTCAGTCAGACTCTGATTTTTCTTTATGGCTATGGCATCCTTGTTACTGAGACCTAGATAATGCAGATCAAAACTGGATTTTTTTTGCTGGACTAATGAAACAATGTTTTCCTCTAGGTCTTCGGCTCCAGGTCCCCTCCCTACCATGACAGGTATATCTCACACATACAAGACCTGTACACATCATTTATAAGTCCCTGTGTCTGTGAGGTTTAGATATCATGGGGGGTAGTGTTTTGAGTCAGGCTGGAAGTATGCTGGGAGAGAAAGGCCTTGGGGAAAGTTGCAGAGTGCCAGACTGTGCTGAGCCTGGCTATGGCCAGGGCTTTTTGCTCTCTCATTTTCATGAACACATCATTCATTCATAAATTTTTAAGGGGAAAGAATCATTGTTTAATGAACTTTTGTGAAGAAAACTGAGCAAGAGAGAAAAGAAAAGAAGCACCGTGAGCTCCTTACTCCCTAGACTTATGACCTGCATAACTCCAACCATTGTGTTATTTAGACAGCCTTCATCTTTAGCCAGCATTAAATTTGTATGCTCCCACATGGTTGAGTTGCTACTTTTTTTTTATCCATGCAGCTGGGATTCTCTGAGGAAACATGATGGGTCAGGAGGAGGAGGGGAGGCGAGGACAGCCATCTCCAAAATGCGGTGGATGTGCCTTGCCGGCTCTGCACTGGTTGCACTCAGGCAAGCTGACGGGAATCGGCGGTGGCAGCCATGCGAATGAGGTCAGAGTTGGTTCCTCCGTGGCTTTTTTATTCTTCTGAGCACTCTGAAAATGTGGGTGTGCATGTTAAAACTGCCCTGTGAGGCAGCTCTGACATGTGGGGCTGCCTGGCACAAACACAGCACATAATAACACAAAGTATTTGGCAGCGTTACAGGGCTAATCTTTACGTAACTGTTCCCAAACAACTTCTCTAGTGTGCTGAGCACAAACAAGCTTTCCATCAGCCTTCAGCTGCATGCAGATTGTCTTGTGTCACCTGCTTCTCTGCTGAGCAAATACTGGCTGTGGTCATGGCAAGGAAAACCTTCTTTTGCATTCGGAACTGACTCTCCCTAAATTGCCTCCCTGTTTTCCAAGACTATTCATGAGCCATAGGCATGTTTGTCAAGAATGTTCACTTTTATAGAATTTTTCCTCTGAAGCACAAATGTATGCTGGAAATTATGTTGTGGCCTGTTTTCAGAAGAGCAGTAGGAAGACAAGGTCTGATTTTTCAACTTTTGCCCCCCTGTTAACTTAAACCATAGGAGGAGGGATGTCTTTTATAGTTAAGCCACTGGAGTGGGACTTTGGAAAACTGAGACTGGAATTAAAATGTTTAATTCCTTCTACCCTTTGCCTCTCTCATCAGATTTTGATGTAAGGTCTTTATGATTGTTTTTGCCTGGTTCAGTGGGGTCTGGTCTCCATGAAGACTTTTGTACTACAGACAGCACCACCAGGGCACACATTGGCAATAACAAAATCAGGGAAAGAAAATAAGGGCTAGAACAGATCTTCTCTCGCATCTTTGATCAGTGTTGGTAATGGGTTTCCTGCTCTTGCATGAAGTCCGTCAAGTGCAACCCTTTTCTTTGGCTGTCAGGAGATAAGTGTTTTTTGCTTTCTCCCCCAACCTCAGGTACCACTGTCCATCTGCCCCCATGCCACCTCCCCACCCACAACGCTCCTCGATTTGGGTGCTCTTTTCACTCAGCGCTGCGCAGCCACAACACATGTGCTACTGCGCAGCAAAGCCATGTGGCAAATACATAAAAGTACGTACGTTTCTGAATTCTGGAAGGGAGCCCTAACTCTGTTGGCAGCGAAGCTGACTCTCCCTCTTTCCTCGGAGCGGGGCCTGCTGCATTCCTTGGTCCCACAGACATAAACCCTCCCTGGATTTCTCCCAGTGTGGCGGCAGGCTGCCAGCCTGCAGCTTCACCCCCAGCACCAGCTCCAGGAGGGGCAACACCTCTGCCTCGATGCTCAGGGAGCCCAAACTCCCTGCTCCAGGCTCATCTCACTCTCTCTGATCTGGCTTAATTCTACCCAGAGCCTCTGTTCTGGTTCTTGGTTTAATCTTAGCTGGTAAGGAAAGGTTCCATAGCAGGAGGGAGGCAGAGCAAAGGGAGATTGCCAGACCCAAATGTTCCGCACTGGCAAAGATGGTTTCTAAATGCTGAACTTTAAAAATAATTTGGTTTGCATGTGGAGTGGTGAGAAAGGGGAGATCTTTCTATTTGCCTGCTGTGATTTGGATTCTATAGTTTTCTGGGGACACGTTTCCAAGTTTTTATCACCAACTATAGGGGCTAGAAAACACTCTCATGTTAAACGAAAGCTGAAATTCCCCCTAGTCCTACACACTGACGATCTGGAGCTTTAACCCTGACTAAATCACAACAACATCTTTAGAATCAGCCCGTGCAAGATGTCTCTCACCAAAGAAAGAAAAATCCATTCAGAAAGAGTTGTTAAGGAGTCCTGAGCAAGTGCAGCTGTTAAGGGAGCAGTCACTGAGATACAACCAGGAAGGAGGAGAGGCATTTTTCTGTGATGTGAAAGAAGTTTGTGCAGCCAAAGGTGAGGAGATAGGGTCACCATGGTCAATTCCCTAGACCACCCTATTGCTTTAGCAGTGTATTGATTTGTGGATCTCTGCAAAGCACACAGACCAGGTCAGAGATGTCCCTACGATTCTTTTTGCTCCCTTGAAGGTATGGATTTTTTCTTATCTCACCTGCTTTTTCTCTATTTCCCTTTCACTTTTAATGTGTTTCAAGGCAGGAGGATGTTAGTGTTATTTTAATTATTCTCCTTTTGTTTTAAATAGGGCTAATTTTTAAATAATTTGTGAGTTTGCCTACAGTGGTAAAATGCTTTGCGATTTGCTTCCAAAAAGAAATATTTGCTAAAAAAAAAAAGAAGAAACTGAAGTGCTCCATCCTTTCCAAATGCAATATTTAACTTTTTTTCCTTTTTTTTTTTTTTTTTTTATTAAGAGCACTTCATTTTGGAAGTGAATAGGATGCTCTGGGCATGAGCACTGCAGACCAATTTAGATTTCCTAGATTGCTTCAATAATCTGAAGAGTACTCCAGTAATTTTTAACTATTCTCCACCACATGCCTTCAAACCCATTCATTTTTTTTAACTGAAGTGACTATACTTAGGACAAACTCTGCTGTTCATTTGAAATTGTTCTATTCTGCATATCCATAGACTTCAAATTCCAATGTAGAAACTTAATACAATATTTTCGTATAAGACTGTGTTACCACTTAATGTTATAGCATTATTAGTCAACATTTTTATGCACTGCTCCCTGTCTGAAGCAGGGCCATGTCACCACAGACAGTTGGCTGCAGGAGACAAACCCATAATTAGGCAAGACAGTCTTTACATTTTGGATTTTCTCATCCCAGGCTTTTTCCTGCATTTAGCCTTGAGATTCAGTTTCTTTTATGGCTTTTTAGTCTGAAGATCAAAATGTTTTTGCAGAGAGTTAAAACACACAGTATGGCACACATATTTTCAGTTTGGGTAGGGACTGAAGTGCATCACTAAAGATCGCACAGAGCATCATCAGTGGTAGAGGCAGGAAAAAACATGAGCAATTTTAAACCTTTTCTTCCTTCCTGTTGCACACAGTTCACTTGTGTTGTATAGGGTGCAGCCCTTCCTGGCACTTTTACTACTGTATCTAGACTCTTCAGGGAGTAGTTATATTTCAAGCACCACCCCAAAGAGAAAGCTCATGAGCTGTCTGTTGAGGATTTCATGCCCTAATTCCTCCCACCTTTACCTTGCATACTAGTTATTTTTAGTTCATATTTCTATAAAAGCATTTCTACATTTCTAAGAAATACAAGCATATTGTCCCACGGAGGCTCTATGCTGCCTTAACTAATTAAAGCTTGACTATAGGACAGTGCTGTACACGTTGCAGTCTGCCTAATTTTTATTCAATCATGATCAAGCATTAAAATTATTGGAAGGTGGCACAGTTTGCATTGATCTGCTGCTGGCATGTCTTCTTGCTAAATGAGTGCCCATCTTGCACAAAAGGCACTAAGAGGATGCACCACCATGCCCTGGACTGTCACCTCTGCGGCAGTCCCGGCAGTCCTGTGGTGCTCCTAGGGAAGCAGCTGCCCTGAGGCTGCTTTTGCAGTGTCCTTGTGCTTGCAGGGAATAGTTTGGTGATGCAACAATGTTACTGAGACACTAAAGCCAAAACCATGGCTTTTTTTGGGTTTTTTTTTTACCATTTTTAAATGAAGGTGGACAAGAGTATTTATATGCACCCTTAGAGGCCAAAGCTTGCGGTATAATTGGGCTTGCTATGGTATGACCCTAATGGCAAACTAGGCTTGAGACTGACTCCAGAATATGTCCCATGTAATTCTGAATATATTTGGCCGTTTTCTTCAGCTGAATTTTGCAGTTTTCAGCTGCTACTGAGAATTTAAATTTAAAAAATAGACTATCAGAGTATGAGGAATTGACAGGCAGAGAAAAATATTGTTAACATAAAGATGCTGTTGCCATTTAATAATTACTAATGCAGTCTGCATAGGAAACTCATGCTTTTATCAGGAATCTTTTAGACATGATTTGTTCTGTAGTAGATATTTTCTGTTGTTGTTTTACAAGATTTCTTTCTAAATGTAATATTTTAAGGAAAGAAAGAGCTGTAGATGAAAGACAGATTGAGAATACAGAACTTGAACTGGTGTGGTATACCGATTTCATCTACATTTTTCTTCTGTATGGCTGTCTCTCCTTGTTGAGAAGGCTGCACTGTTGTCAATAAAGCATTTCTTGAATGAAATGCCACCTTGGTCTTGTCCACTTACAAAAACTAAAGATCTCCCAGCTTAAAGAGTGGTATCTTAATCAATTTCTGACTGGGAGATTGCATTCTTCATACTTACATTCCCTGAAATTTCAATTGGATGCAATCTTTTTCTTCACTTAGAGCCATCCTTTTTTATATGTTAAGTGCTTGCTCTGTTTCAACTCTGATGGAGCTGATTTTCAAGAACAGAAATTTCATCATCTGCACAGACCTTTGTGCTCTTTTGAAAAAAATCTCATATCTATTAAAGATATGCTCTCACTTATTTACTACAATATTTTGGCATTTGTAAGAGAGAGACAGAACAATGATTTCACATAATTCAATTAATTTTAACTAAAAAATCAAGCACATTTTTCTTCCCCAAATAATGCTTCTAATGTTAGGGTTTGGGTTATAGTAACTCAGTTTATTAGTCATATAATTATGAAGATAATATTATTATTAAATTATCTTTCCTATCCATTTTATTCTGAGATTGAGGACATAGATTCAAAAAAAAAAAAACATAATATTTTTTCCTGTATGGTTAGCCCTGCAGAACTTGATTTTCTCTTAATTTGGCTTTAATTTTTTCTTTTTTTTAGTAATGTACCTCAATGACATCAGTGAAGTACTATGTGTAACTCCAAAGTAAATGGAGCAGCTTTGTAGGCCAGAGTTTCCATCTGAAAGTTATGTATGGAGGCAGCATTTGCTAACATAATGCTGTATTATAATTCATGCTTGCACCTGTCCAGTTAGCCATAGATCCATCCAAGCATGCGATATAGTGTTAGAGGATTCCATTCTGCTAGATTAAATCTTCAGTTAAATGAACTAAAGTGTCTTAGGGTGTGTATGGCAAGATATCTCACTGAGAATAAGTTGAAGAG